CTAAACAGCAGTAATGGAAACATTTTAGCTGATCCTGGTGAATCTTTAATGCAGGAGAGGCTTCAAAGTTCTGCGTAAAACATAAGATTACAACAGTTATTATACAATTTTTATTATCTGAAGCATTCCACAATTTATGAGCTTCTCGAAACTCGTTTATACCAGTTCTATGCTCACGTTTATTTCTGGATCACTGCCTGTATCAGTAATTCAGGTGTAAACCAGAGACACTGAGAACATTATGAAATGAGGATACTTCGATCCTTCTGTGCTACAAGCCCTGATTTATCTAAAAGTGAGTGAAAATAATTGCAAAGATTGACCTCCTCTACAGTCGTTTTCCGTAGTATATACTTGGTAGTGTGGCTTCTTCAAATTACTAACGAAAATGAATACGTCAACACACGCAGTGTTCGTTAGAAATAGTAGCTGATAGGTACAACAAACTAAATTGAAGAAAGAAAAATTCGCTGATTATGTCTGATGATGAAACAGCATGATACGGTCATATATATTACACAAGATCCGCATACTCATTGTCTGGTATAAGTAATACTAGGATGTTTGAATTACGCAGTTTCACTGATGTGAACAAACAGTGATGCCAGATTCATACCTCAGCGAGTTAAATTTCTGTTGCCGATCGTTATCATAATCGTAACTATTTTTTTATCATCCTCTTCATCTTTTTTACTTCCGCTGTAGCTATCAGTGACGTCATCATCATGATGACTATTATAATCAGAATTACTGTCATTTTCTTCGCCAGAGACAGCGCCATTATTGTCATCATCATCATCATGATTAAAATCTTTATCATCGTTATTATCACTCACAACGTCAGAAACCATAATCAAAAGCAAGAAACTTTGCTCCTTAAATTAACGAGAACAATGAATAACACTGCAAAAGTGATGTTACAGTATCGGCGTAATGATAGAGCCAAGAAGAAACATCAAGCACAATAGTAAGAAGAAGAAAGATTGACGTCAGAAGAAGAAAAGGATTCATAGATATAATTTTGTGTTTGACTGGTATCTAATATATTAATTACCAAAAAACTTAATTGATGCCAATTCAGGCTTTTCCATCTTTATGAATATTGTCATTATGTCATTCTCAGTGCCAGCTGCTTTGCTATAATTACAACCGGGGTCATAATCATCATAGCTATCTCAGTCATCACGGTAATGATCGTGATGAAAGCATTCTCCATGAAGGTATGCTCATAGTCAGGTATTTTGTTCATCTTCATCTTCCATCGCCGCTTCTTTCGGGTCGCGGAGGCAGACGCGTCAGACAGTGCTTCCAACGTTCCCGATCCTGTGCCAGAGTCT